AAGTTAAGCGTGCTGACTCTGGAGTAGTCTTAGGATGGGTGACCTCCTGGAAAGTACTTTCTGGGATGTGTGCGAGTGAGGACAAAACACGCAAAAAGGTCTCGTGTTGGTGTGTAGGGATAGCTCTATCATTCCGTAGCGGCCTCGGGTCGTTACAAATGGTATCAGAGCCGGTTCTCTCCCAGTACGGTGTGGTTCGTGGACGAACCAGGCGGAAGCTGGTGGGCCTCTGACAGCCCAAAATACCATAGGAGGGCGGGGAGTGATCGCCGGTGCGAGAGGCATGGACAATGGGCGGCTCCTGACGAGCTTCTGGGTAGGGGGTACAGGGATGAAGCGGACGCACCGGAATGAGAGGGATCCGAGGGCTGTGTAGGTATGGGACTACACAGTCTAAGATAACTTAAAGGAATTAATTGAGCTACTCATATCAACAAGATGCATCTACCTTTTCGGTTGTCCATCTCGAGAGAACTCCAAAGTTAAGCGTGCTGACTCTGGAGTAGTCTTAGGATGGGTGACCTCCTGGAAAGTACTTTCCGGGATGTGTGCGAGTGAGGACAAAATACGCAAAAAGTTCCCGTGTTGGTGTGTGGGGATAGCTCTATCATTCCGTAGCGGGCTCGGGTCGTTACAATCCTCACCTGTCGAGGTCCGTACATTGATGATGCGAGTTGGGGTCGTCGAAGGCTTAGTGAATGTAACGTGACACATTTAGAATGTCTCCATTATATGCTTAAATGGAGATCAACGATTTCTACAATTAAGCCCAATGTCTAGACTAAGGGATTGGAATTAGGGAACTAATTCTGAAATCTCTAAGAGGCCCTATAGCAGTACCTAAAGGAACAAACGCTGACCCACCCAAGTGGGCGTTTATGACAAAGTGGGGGGGAGGAACTTACCTCGCTCACCATCTATATCGGCGTTAGCAGAGAACCCCCTTAAGTGCAAACCAAAAGTCCGAAAAGAAGGTGTTCAGGAGGGACAACAGAGGGTTCCTTGTAGTTATCACGATTACCGAGGAACCAGAGCATAGATTGGAAGACAAACTAGTTGCCCAAGAGTTTTCTAATGCTTTTTCCTGATGACTTGTCGGGATTACAACCAAGGAAAGAAATGGGTTTTACTACTGACTAGGTACCAGATAGTGACCCAATTACCAAAGATCCGTATCGGATGATATCTACGAAGATGACCGAGCTGAAGAAACGACCGAGCGAGTTAGCAGATTAAGGTTTCATCCGCCCTAGCGTCTCACCGTTGGGATCACCGGTACTCTTCGTGAAGAAGAAGGACGGGAGTATGCGATTGTGCATCGATTACCGAGGGCTCAACCAAGTGACTATCAAGAATCGGTACCCATTACCGAGGATTGATGAGTTGATGGACGAACTACAGGGAGCCCAATGGTTTTCGAAGATTGATGTACGATCCAGATATCATCATATTCGGGTCAAGGAAGATGACATACAGAAGACGGCAGTCCGAACAAGATATGGTCACTTCGAGTTCGTGGTCATGCCTTTCGGCTCACGAACGCGCCTGCGGTGTTCAAGCAACTGATGAACCGCGTGTTCATAGACTACCTGGATGAGTTTGTCATCATTTTCATCGATGATCTCCTCATCTATTCGCTGGATCCGCAGAAACATGAGGAGCATCTGCGGAAGATATTGTGGAGGCTAAGGGAGAACCGGATGTACGCGAAGTTCAGTAAGTGCAACTTCTGGTTACAGGAGATTGGATTCCTGGGACACGTGGTATCAACCCAGGGTATTCAGGTCGATCCGGCTAAGATCGAGGCCGTCATGGAGTGGCAGTCCCCGACTTCTGCGACGGAAGTCAGGAGCTTCTTGGGATTAGCCGGCTATTATCGCCGATTCGTCGAGGGATTCGCCAAGATAGCTCGACCTTTGACAAAGCTGATAGGGAAGAATGTCAGGTTCGAGTGGACAGCAGAATGCGAGAAGAGCTTTGGGGAGTTGAAACGGAGATTGACATCAGCGCCGATCCTGGCATTACCACGGCCGGGAATGTTGTACGAGGTATACACC